TTTTTTTTTTTTCCTCTGTTTTCTTTTGGCGGTAACCATAATGGTGGTCGAGTAGATGAGGTTGTGCGGGGTGGAGAACCTCACTCCGCGCAAGGGGGATGATCGCACCACGTTGTGTTGAAATGGTCAAGCACCCTCGAGGCACTTACTCAGTGCTTACAACTGTCTCTGGAAGTGAAGTAGTACCAGAAAATAAACTAAGTCATACGCAGCTGTCATCCGTACGCAAGGAAGTAAGCACAAGATGTCGAACGCCATTAGCAGGATGCAGCGCACTCTTCATGCGACTCGCCGAATACCTCACGGCGCTTCGCGCTTGGTTGTGTGAGAGCCTGGTCCGGTGCGAACCCGGCGTGCTCCGTCCCGGCTTTGTAGGGATGCGAGGTTATGGTCTAACGACTACGGCATGCACGGCTATGAGCAACCCCCCCTCCGCCGCTGCTGTTCACTGTGCTGTACTGTAATACTGCCACATATCGCGGACAACCACGTACTCTCCGCTGTAGGACGGGTTTGATGGCACTCCCCACCACCTCTCTTGAGGGCTTGATGAAGTGGATTGTCAACAGGTCAAGAGACAGAAATAAATATGAAAAATACGAAGTACTTCGAAGGAAAAGAGAACCGGGAGGATGCGACAGTCCAAAGGAAAAAGAAATGTCATTTAAGAAAATGGACGACTCAGGCCGGTCCTTCGACCGAAAAGAAGGGATTGAGGCTCGACCCGATTTTGACGTTTCTTGACTGCGGGCGCTATCTGTATGAGAAATAGCGCTGTCGAATACGGTTTATTACTCTTTTCCGCTAGTTTTTCGTCGTTACTGTAGCCAAGTCCGCCATGTGTTACTGCCAAGCAGTCTTGTGCTTTTGGACTGCGAATCATGCTGTTTCAGGCTGTATCAACAAAGTTCGAAAAACCGAATTAAAAACCAAAATCAAGCCCTGACTGGTCGAAGCCCAAAATTTGGCCTTGTCTGGGTTTACGGCGAGCTCACTTTTTAATACTGGCTTGGACAAAAAATCATTGCTTGGAGGAATTATCACAACACACGTAGTCAGAAATCAAGAATCCGAATCAAAGTATTTTTTGTTTACGGCCAACACAGCCGTCTTGATTTTTGGTCCTTCGATGTTGACTTTTTGAGCACCGTCCTACTTTTGTTCAACCTCAAGCTTAAGCATGTACGCAAGCGCCCCTCCCATAGTTTTCCCATCAAGAGATGCCCGTCACGCGCTCACCTACACTAGTTTCTCCGCCCAACCACGGTAGTTGCGGCCCGCGTTCAAAGGCCATTTTGGGGTGAAGGACCAGGTGCTTGTTTCATGAGTACTGCTGAGCATCGAGAATAGGCTTCTGCCGTGTAGGCTCCACCGATGGGTTGTGTGTTGTTCAACCAATTTGCCCTGTGTTTCGTGACCATCTGAACGTCTTTGTGCTCACAGAATATTTCTTGATTGCGGGTCCCAACTATGTTCCGCTGTGCCCAAACCTACCGAGTATTCTTGGCATCGCGCCGTTCACGGTCGCACCCACACCCTCAGGTACGGCTGCTCCTGACCGTTACCGCGGACAGCGACGCCGACGAGTGGGTGTACGGATACCCGGACTTCCTTCCCCAGGACTACTACAACTCGTGCGTCGGCACCACGGCCGCAGGCACGGTGAGCGACACGTGCATCGTATGGGGCACTGTGTCAGGCAATGGTACCCCGGAGGATGCTGGGGCGTACACCTCCCTCTCAGGGTGAGTTGGGGATGCCCGTTTGTTATGCATGCAATGTGTTTGATAAGGTTCGGTTGCCTCTTGCTTCCAGCGCTTCGTTGACCATTCCCACGTATTGCTTTGCTCTACGGACCCGGTGTCATAGGAAGGTGAATGGAAGGTCTCGCTGTTACGGTGGTGTTTCTTCGTGGATGTCATGTACTGAACCCATGTGAACGTTCGTGATTGGTCATCGGTTAAGTTAAACAAGAAAAATGTGTTTTTGGCCCAAATGTCTGGTCGTGTCTTAGTACTCTACCACATCGCAGGCGGAAGCGCGGGCGTGCCGATAAGTCGTTCATTGCACGCTGTAGGGTGCGACGTCCGAGTACATGAATTGTTCACTTCACTTCTAGGTGACAGCCAGTGGCAACACGTGACGTTGCTCGTGTCGAGGCCTTGATATGTTTGTGCTCAGACCCGGAGGATGAGGATCATTGCAAGACAAAGGGCTCGACCTTGATTTTTGTCTTCATTTGTGCAAGTGCCCCAATCTTGGATGAATGCCCTCTGATGCCCTATGTTGTATGTAGCAGATAGTCAAAGGCCGTTCTTGGCTAAACGAAGCAGACAAGAGCCGTGGACAAGGGGGCGTCACAAGCACCGCGTTCACCAAGTATGGCCATTGGCTTCTCTAGAGGAGCACTGTGGTAGCGTTGTTGGTGGTACATATTGCAACGTGGGCGTTTCCGGCCGTGCCCAACCGCATGCATGCATTTAACGGTGGTATGATGATTTTCCAGGTACTACGTTTCCTTCGGAGGCCCTTCCACGATCGGCTTCAACAAGGAGGCCATGTCCAACGAGGCGTACCTCACCTACTCTAATGGTGAGATGGTTCGACGACATGCTTCCCCAAAACCTTCCATGTGTTTGTTTTCTCCGCGCGCACGGTTTGATGCACGACTTTGGAATTATTTTTGAAAGGCGATAGGCGTTCAGTTTTGTCCGTGAGGGATCGGATTCCCAGTGTATGTAGGTGCTTGCTTCGTCACTACGGTCGTGACTCGGATGCGAGAGGGAGGGCACCTTGTACGAGGGGGCTCCATTGTAAAAGGGTCGAAATTGGTTGTCACGGACTCGACCCGCTTTGTATAGTTGGGTACCCCTTGCTTCGGTGTGAGAGCGGGCTCCGGTGTGAGGGCCAAACGCGTTGGTCACACCCTCTTTATGTCGGAGCCACGGCTGTACTTGTCAAATCATTGAACCCGAGTTGAGCCCGTCTCTGCTTTCCGCAGCAGACAACGTGTACAGGTCGAAGACTTGCCTTGTTTGCCTGGAACGCCTGCTGCATCATTCTACTGTATGATGACGCCACATTTTCTCCGTATCACTGTGCAAATTTGCTGTTCTTGTGCAACCCCGCCGCCCCGCCGTTGCCCCCTCGTAGGATTCACCGCCGAGGAAGTGGCCGCTTTCCCCAACGACTGCGCGATTTCCGGCGAGCTGACATACAACTAGGCTTCCGGCGATGACCCGTGATTTGGGGATTGCGTTTGAATGTGGGCTTGCCGGTGTGGTGCTAAGGCGTCGACAATTGGTTGGCCTAGTAACGTTTGATCTGATGCCACGTGGAGTACACAGTGGCATCACACCGCGACTTGGTTGGCTGTCAAGCCCGATACCTCTCGTTGCGAGTTGATTCTGTAGGTGATGCTCTTCGACGGCTTAGCGCCGTTGGCGACATGTGGTTGTTCGGAATTTCTAGGTTCTGGGACGAATCTCTCCTGCCCAGGCGATTGGGTGTTGGCACGGATCGATTAGAGATGGATTGTTCAACCTGGGGCCATTTCGGCTGATCTCACGTCCTGTGAGATTTCAGGCAACGACTGCTCCATGAAGTTGATCCCTTTGAACATAGAGTGGTCGTTGCCGCACCACATTAGACCTAGATGTGCTGTTTAGTTTGGTCGTATGCTCGCGCGCGCGCGTGCGTAAGCAAATGCTACAAGTGGTTAACGTGTTTGCGAGGTAGGCCCTCCCCTCGTGTGGTAGGGAAGGTGTGTGTGTTGGTTCGGGTTCTGCGTGAGAAGATCGGGGAGCGCCTGTCGTGTACGGTTCGTGACAAGGGCTCTGGGGACTACGCGTGTACTTTCCCTACATGTATTATTTCTTTGTAGTAGTAGTATTAGAGATACATCGAGATCAAGTAGAGGAAGTTGGTTATCGCGAGAAAACGTGTCCGGTTCCTGGCGAATGCCGCTTGTGCTCTTGTCAAGTTGTTCGACTGCCACTGCCACAAACATGACGTAGAGGTTGATATCTTGTCGCGGAGTGCCCGGCTCGCCCCGTTGTGTCCACTGTTGTGTCCACTCCACAGCTTTTCACGAGCGCACCCACGTCCTCTCAAGTAGTTCCCCATGCCGAGAAGGAAAGGGAAGTCCTTGGCCGCCTAGCATGCGTGTTAAGTTTTATGCAGGTTTTTCGCTGTCTGACAAGCCAGGTGATTTCTTCGACAGCCACACGCACGCTTTGATTTACATCAGGCTCGCTGGCGTTTCTTCCAGCATCTGTTTTGCCCTACACTACAATTACCCCCTCGAAGCTGAGCAGAATAGCGGAAAAAACGTAATTTGCTCCCGCGAAAAATGCAAACGGAACGGGGTTTGTGAGATGACCATTTATTTTATTTTTTATTCTGCATTTATCAACGCCGCATCACAATGACGTGAGAAATGGACGTGGTTTTTCGAGCATGATTTGTGTTTCTACTAGACTCACCGCCCACAAAAAAGGCCTCCGGGCAGTTCAAAAGCCGGGAAAGGCGCACTCCCAACTGCCACGTGACTTGGATAGTCTAGATGTTAAAGGTGATGCCTGAACTAATAACGTGCACGATGGTATAGATAGACTAGATATGGTAAGCGCCACCACGTGAGCTACTACTGCTGCTGTAGTCATTCTGCCTTCGATCCCGCGACTCCAGTAGTAGCTGATGTGGGTGTACCAACACGCGTGTCGCCACTCCATCGTGTCCTGCTGGCATGCTAGTGTCGATGTTTCTGTTGAGACTCCAGCAGCCGGAAAGCCGACAGATTATCTTGGATTTAGACCGGAAACCGTTACACTGACATTGGCCAAAAGGCCTCATATCTTGGTCGAGCCTCAAGTTACTTCTTCCTCTCACCACCGTCGATCACGGGCTCTGCGTATGTCGCGACGCATTGCAAGATGCGCGCCTGGCTTTGACACCCTCTCCGCCCTCCACCCCCGGCGAAATAATCTGGTTCCCGCTGTCGGTGGCCGCGAACCAACGAAGAAAGAAAGAGTGGTACGGTACGTACGGTGTACTGCTATAGGGGGCCTTCAATAACAACGCTGGTATGTGCCCGGCGCATCGACCGGGTCTAGAACTATTCACCGGCGCTGTTCACTCTGCACAGAAATATCTAGCGTTATTGACGCCCCACACAATCATTGCTTTAAAACACATTCAGAGCGAGAAACCTACAAAAGGGAGGGGACGAAAGGCCTGGCTGACTAGAGTCTAATGGTGTAACGTTATCGAATAAAAGATATACGCTCAGCTCATTAGCACCCGGCTGGATCACATTTTTGGCTTCGTGAGTAGAGATCTCCGGGGATGGACCCCTCGCCAGACGCTGCCTGAAAAGTTAATGATGTTCGCGAAAGTGAGCAGCCGGGATTCGAACACGTGCGTGCGTCCTCCAGCTCCAAATGTTAGGCCGTTAGTCTAGACTAGTCAGCGCTCTGTCTGCTCACTTTCCCAAGCATCATCAAGTTCTTTTCAGGCAGCGTCTGGCGAGGGGTTCGTCCCCCGGAGAGCTCTACTCACGAACCCAACGATGTGATCCGGCCGGGTGCAAATGAGCTCTGAGCATATCGTTTATTCGATAAAGTTACACCGACTAGTCAGCGCTGACCAGTCTAAAAGCTCTTTCAGTAAAAAAAAAATGGTTTTCTGTGTTTCTAGATAATATGCTTTTCCACCCCCCTCCCCCTCCTTCCCTCTCCGAGGCGGAGAGCAA